GTGTGAGCTACGAAACCGCTGCAGAGTCCAGGCAGTGACAACCTTTCCTGCGTCTTTTAATGTCTAGCAGTGGGTTTAACAACAAACACGAACGGAATTGGAACGCTTCTTGGCGATGCTGGGAGTTTTGTTCTTTAATATTTTTCTGGTGCGACGAATTCAAGGGTGCTCGACCCAAGCTTTTTAAGGGCTTCTTCCTGCACCAGCTGCGCTGATTTCGGGCGCGAGGAACTGGGTGGGATGGGGCAACTGGGCGGGGAGCCGCACAGTTACGTATCAATGTGTGTATATCTATCTATACATATACATATATATATATATATGCTACCCCGCCTCCAAATACTGGCCAGACTGGGGGGACTCTGAACTGAATTGACACGACGTGCAACTCCATGCAAAGTCCAACCAAGCAGAAGTTAAGCTCAACGTTCAAAAGGAGTTCCTAGTTGAAAAGCCCGAAACGAAAGTCAAAGTGGCGTGCGCGAAGTGCACTTAAAAGTCACATTGGAGTACGCGTTGTATTCCTTTTGTTTGACAAGGACATTCAGCAAATCATCCACTTGGGGGAAAGGAACTCAATCCTATTTTCAACTGACATCCGAATCAAATACAAAAGTGCTTCATGTCCTTGCGCAGTTGCAATTGCATGTTAATTCATTTTTGTACAACACTCCATCTACATTCCAACTAAAGTGTATTCACAACAAAATTGCAAAGCAGATATCTCAATTCTGCGTTACTTGTCAAATACGTTTCAATCATTGTCAACAACAACTATGGAATTTCAAATTTAGGAAGGATCTCCGACTTAAAATGATTTTGAGTTCAAACCAAATGCGACTTCAACCGGTATTTCAAAAAGCAACTGGAGAACGCAGCTATAGTCATGACCAGTGCAAACTGGAATCAAGTTCAGGGCTATTGTCCTTCGCTTTAAACAAGCAAGAAGTGAGCCAAGCCAAGAACAGAAGCAGTGTTTTAAATTAGAGATCTTACTATTGGAATAAAAGGCTGCAAAACGCGGTGTTGTCAGCGTTCGCTCAGATTATGTTGCCCTGGATCGACGCCCGACTGTTCAAGAGTCCGCAAATCGTTTTAGAACATCCTCAATCCTGGCCGCCAAAAAGCTTCACAGTGCTTTCTAGGCTCTTTAAGGCTTTCCCACCTGCTTTGAAGATTGAAGATCTCCTAGATTTTGTTTTTGAGAATCGTCCATCCTGGGCAGCCCTGAAGTCCCCAAATAACTGTAGCTTTCAAGAGCATGGTTTGCCGCTTGCAAAATGCAGGCGGCGCACATCGGATTCTTTAAGTCCATACTTGGGAAATCCAGGAATGTGCTAGCGCATCCTCGATTTAAGAGTGAAGGTTCTCCAACATCTCTTTCTGTTTTTTTTCCCCAGATAGCTGAAAGCTATAGGGGTTCTAACTTCTAATAAAGAGGGGAAAGTGATTTGCGAGATTGAGGGCCGGGTGCTAGGGGGCATGCAGTTTGAGGTGCTGGTGGATGCTGCTTTGCGAGCTTGAGGTGCTGGTGGGTGCTGCTTTGCGAGCTTGACGGCCGGGTGCTAGGGGGCATGCAGTTTGGGGTGCTGGTGGATGCTGCTTTGCGAGCTTGACGGCCGGGTGCTAGGGGGCATGCAGTTTGGGGTGCTGGTGGATGCTGCTTTGCGAGCTTGACGGCCGGGTGCTAGGGGGCATGCGGTTTGGGGTGCTGGTGGATGCTGCTTTGCGAGCTTGACGGCCGGGTGCTAGGGGGCATGCAGTTTGGGTGCTGGTGGGTGCTGCTTTGCGAGCTTGACGGCCGGGTGCTAGGGGGCATGCAGTCTGGGGTGCTGGTGGGTGCTGCTTTGCGAGCTTGACGGCCGGGTGCTAGGGTTGGGGTGCTGGTAGATGCTGCTTTGCGAGCTTGACGGCCGGGTGGGGGGCTGCTGGTTTGCGAGCTGGCCGGCGAGCGGCATGCAGTTTCGGGTGCTGGTGGATGCTGTTTTGCGAGCTTGACGGCTGGGTGCTGGGGGCATGCAGTTTGGGGTGCTGGTGGATGCTGTTTTGTTTTTCGAGCTGGCCGGGTGCTAGGGGCATGCAGTTTGGGGTGCTGGTGGATGCTGTTTTGCGAGCTTGACGGCCGGGTGCTGGGGGGCATGCAGTTTGGGCTGCTGGTGGATGCTGTTTTGCGAGCTGGCCGGGTGCTAGGGGGCATGCAGTTTGGGGTGCTGGTGGGTGCTGTTTTGCGAGCTTGACGGCCGGTTGTAGGGGGCATGCAGTTTGGGTGCTGGTGGATGCTGCTTTGCGAGCTTGACGGCCGGGTGCTAAGGGGCATGCAGTTTGAGGCGCGGGTGGATGCTGCTTTGGTTGTACCGGGTGCTAGGGGGCATGTTAGGGGTGCTGGTGATGCTGTTCGCGTGTAACGGTTTGTGGCTGGTGTATCGCCATGATGTTCCCACGTTATGGTGTGTGGGTGTAGTGGCGCCGTGATGCTGTCAACACCAGGATGATGCAGAATTTCATTAAGCTGTCGCAAGATGGTTCGTGGCTGTGGTATCATCATGATGCTGCCTTTACCATCAGCATGATGCTGTTCGCATCACCATGATGCTGTCCGCATCATCATGATGCTGTCCGCATCATCATGATGCTGTCGAACTCATTAGGACCTCGTTTTTGCTTTTTCCTGCCGGATTGCTCTCAAAATCATCATTATGCTGCTGATCTCATTAGGACGTTGTCTGCGCGTTTGTTTCGTGGCTGTGGTGTCATCATGGTCTACATCATCATGATAATGCTGCGTCATGGTTCGTTTCCGTGGTGTGCTATCTGGGGTCTATGCTGGTGTAATTCAAATCTGTTCTTATGGCAATCCAGGATGCGCTAGCCCGTGCTAGCACATCCTGCGCTAGCACGTGCTAACATATCCTGGATTGAAGGATTGAAGATGTTAGATTCTCAGGGCACTTCTTCTGGAAATCTTCAAAACCATACTTCGGATACACATCCTCGATTGAAGATTGAAGAATCCCAGAAAGAGTTGCCAGAGAATCTTCAATCTTCAATCTTCAATCCAGGATGTGCTAGCACGTGCTGGCGCGTCCTGGATTGCACTAAGTACTGATGTTAGAATTTCAGTCTAAAAAGGAGTGCATTTTTGGAGCATCGTTTGTAGACGCTGGACAGTGCATTTTCCATTCGTCTAGGTGAATTATAACGACCTCACACAACCTCACCCCAAATGGTGGTTTATGTGGGGAATAGCTCCCCAACCGCCTTATTTCAGGTTGGTGAAATATTATAATTCACCCAGATTCATGTTTACAGCAAAACCCTTATTTGTTCAACAACCTGAGTATTCCCGGGGGTACCATGTATATATGTATATCATATATATATATATACTTTAGAGCCTCCGGCTCAGTCCGCCGACATTGACCTGTTCGACGCAGAAAGTTCGTGGATCATGAAAAGTTGGTTCCCTGCTTTTCAGGTATTGCCACAACAGTTACGTGGCACGAAGGGCATGCATGGGTCAGCCTTGGCGTACGATCGGAGCACCTGTGGCCACGGCCTGGGGTTTTGCTTGCGTCCGCGGCCACAGCCCGGAGCCAGCACGCAAGGCTCCGTAGCTGCTCGGGAGGCACGCAGAGCCTGTGGCCACGGCCGGGACCAACAGGACGAGCGCGCCAAAAAAATCATGCAGCAGCGGGCACGGCCAAGCGCGCCAGGCGTAGCTGCTCGGGAGGCACGCGCAGCGGGCTTCGTGTCTGTGGCCACGGCCCGGACCGAAGCGCGCCAAGGGATTCTTGCATCTGCGGCCACGGCCCGGAGCAAGCGCGCCAGGTTCCGTAGCTGCTCGGGAGGCACGCGGCGCGGGTTTCGTGTCTGTGGCCACGGCCCGGACCGAAGCAGGACGTGCGCGCCAAGGGATTCTTGCGTCCGCGGCCGTACGGCCCGGAGCAAGCGCGCAAGGCTCCGTAGCTGCTCGGGAGGCACGCGGCGCGGGTTTCCCGGACCGAAGCAGGACGTGCGCGCCAAGGGATTCCTGCGTCCGCGGCCACGGCCCGGAGCAAGCGCGCAAGGCTCCGTAGCTGCTCGGGAGGCACACGGCGCGGGTTTTGTGTCTGTGGCCACGGCCCGGACCAAAGCAGGACGTGCGCGCCAAGGGATCCTTGCGTCCGCGGCCACGGCCCGGAGCAAGCGCGCAAGGCTCCGTAGCTGCTCCGGAGGCACGCAGAGCGGGTTTCGTGTCTGTGGCCACGGCCCGGACCGAAGCAGGACGTGCGCGCCAAGTGTTTCTTGCATCTGCGGCCATGTTCACGGCGTCGGCGCCGGGTGTGCGATGCGCCAAGTTAGTCGCGCGGCTCGCGCGAGCGGCCGCACGGGTCGATCCGTGCAGGTATGTCAGTCTGGACAAGGGGGGCTTGCGCTTGCTCTTCGCTCCAACGCGTCGAGGCTGCAGCGAAGGAGAAAAAGCTCCGAACAGGACCTTGCAAGGAGAGACAGGACAGCCGCCGCACACAAGTCAGGGCTGTCTGGGATGACCTGCTAGCGAAAATCAGAGACATGTCGGCAACGGCTTGGAGTCAGCGAGGAGGAGTTGGACTGTGCTGACCAAGGGCTCAGCAGGAGCGCTCACGCGATCTGAAGCTGCGTCGCACTGCGTATCGTTCGCGGACCTTGAGGCAGCCTGGGCTCGTGTGGAGAGCCGCCTGGACACGGCGCCAAGGGGCAGCGCGGACGCAAGCTGGGCTGCTTGTGTACAGTTGCGACGTGCCGTTTTTTCCCTGTTTTTTTTAGCCTTGTAGCAAGCCGGTGCAGTCTCTGAACTTGCAGGTTGACGCTTGCTCGGCAGAAAGTGGGGAGGTAGGGTGGGGGCGGCAAGAGCAGAATGCGAGGAGGGTAGCTGTTGTTGAAACATGTCTGACAAGGAATTTGCATCCGGGGCACGCTAGCTCAAGCCCGGCAGCGTGAGGAAGGGTGCAGCCCCTTCAAAGATGTCCCTGGGATGGAACATGGACGCGGACTGCTGGCAGAGCTACACGCGCTAGGGCTCGAGGTTGGGGAAGGGTCCTCGCACGGGGAGAACAATTGCCTTGTGGACAGCATGCTGCAATGTCTAGCTGCAGCTGATGTGCTTCCAGAAGAAGTACTGCTTTGCGCGGAGACGCGGCAAGCAATGTGTGCGGCGGCACGAGCGAGACTGGTGGCGCAGGCGGACGTCAGGCTGCGCCCGCAGCGGCTGGATGCGTGCGGCGTGCGGGACAGTGGCGCGACTGCAGCGGAGCACGAGTGTGCACACCTGCAGCATCATCTGCACGCAGAGCCCGTGCTGCGGAGCATCATGGCGGACTGTGCCAAGGTGGAGTGGCCGGACATAGAGCTCACGGTGTATGCAGCGGGGGACTCCGTACACCGGTGCCCAGACCGAGTCCTGTTGGCAGGTGCTGGACAGCCTGCAGAGAAGCTCCGGCTAAGTTTGTTCAGTCGCGCGGATGCAGACGGCAACGGGTGGCACTATGACCCGCTCTTTGAAGGCAGAGTCAGTGCAGAGCTGGATGTCGCGGAGGAGGCGGCCCCTACGTTCGAGCACAAAGAACCTGCAGGAGGCGAAGCAGGAGAGGACGAGGCGGTTGTCAGCCTGGCACTCATGGGCGTGCGCAGGGACAGTGGAGACCAAAGGGCAGGCGCTGGAGGAAGCTGTGGAGCACACCGTCGCTGGGAGGATGATCTCCATGTCCGGGCAGGCAGCGCGGGCGCATCGTTTGCGCGTTTCGCGGGTGTGAGTACACATGTGCCACGGCGGACGTGCTGGATGCGCGCCTGCGGGAAGTGCATGCGGGCGACTTGGCGGCGGCTGTTGCGGCTCGGTCGCGCTTGAAGGGGGTCAGCAGCGAGGCGCACCTGGCGGTGTACCGGCTGTGCCTGCAGGAGCTGGCGCGCAGGTCGCCCCCACAGGCGAGCGCAAGCCAGGATCGCGCCTGCTTGCGCAGCTACTGCGATCAAGTGTGCACGGCCCGGACGCTCATGTGCTTTGTGTGCGCGTGCCGATTTGCGGGCGTGGAAGAGGAGGCGGATCAGGACATCCAGCGGTACCGCGCGGCGGACATGCGCGGTTTGCTGGAACTGCTCTCGTTCACGACGTACATGGAGAAGTATGGCAATCTTTGGCCGAGCGGGCCGGACTTGCGCGGCAACGAGGCTGCTTTCCGTGAGTGGCTCAGAGGGTTCGAGGGCACGCTTCTGTTGTGCTGTCCGGAGGATGTAGATTGCGCAGCGCACGATGTGCGGATGGGTGCGGGAGAGCTCTGCCCGGCGTGCAGCATCCCAGCTTGCAGCGTTGTCCAACGACCTGTGGACGGGGTACTTGCCTGTGGAGATCTACACCCAGGCGGCCACAGTGTGCGAACTGATTGCGGCCTCGCCGTGCCTCACCGGCATGTTTTGTTTCTCCCTAGAGTACCACCGTGCAAGCAGCGTCTACGACGCAACGGCGTACATGCCTCGCCACCGGCTCGGGGCGCGCGGCAATGTGACGTCGTATCCACTGCCCTGGCTCGACCTCTTAGCGCAGCTCGGGATGGAAGCTGGCAACAGTGTAGCGCTGCCAAGGACTGGCGTGGAGCTCGCAGTCTTACTGCGGACAGGTGGTGGGCTAGGGGAGGCGGACGCAGGGAGATTCTTGCATCAGGCACGGGTTCGGCGGGCCGTTGTGCTGGCCTTGATCTGTGGAGCTGTGGCGCGGAAGCACACTGCGTATGCAAACGTGGACTTGGAAGCGGCCATGACTCGGGCTGCAGGTCTGCCGGAGGATGGGGTGCCTCCAGAAATCGTGCGGCTGCTGGACCCGGATCGGAACATCAGTCGCCTGCGTCCGCAGAAAGCGGCAACGCCCGCCGATGGGTGTCACCTGGAAGCGGAAGACGCGGCGCGGCAGCTGGCAGATGTGCGCCCCCACGCAGTGTTGCTTGAAAACAGCAGCGCGTTGGAGGAGGATGCCGTCGCGCAGGACATTGCGGCCTGGCGACATTTTGACACGCAGCTTTGATGGGGGACAGAGCCGCCCGCTGCAGCGGTGACTATAACCGCGGGGTCACAGCTGGTCGATCAGTTCAAGCCGCTGTCGCGTTTGCGTTTTGCTTCAGTTACTGCATAGGCTTGCCCGACTTGGTGCATCACGGTACAACGACGCGGTACAGGCGGGAAGCGTCGGCGCCAATCATCGACTTCCCGCGCTGGGCTCGCGCTGTGAGTCGACGCGCAGAAAGCCAATTTGCGCGCGACTGGCTGCTACTGTTTGCGCTGTGGAACTACAGTTTTCGCGCGCAAGTGAACTTGAGCCGTGGACTGGTTGCGTACGTGCCTCGTGGGCTGCCCAGTCTCACAAGTGAGGAGCTGACAGAGGGCGCCTTGCATGGTCAGTACCGTGCAGGGCCGGACGCGCCGTTGCAGCCGGTCGCTGGGGACGTATCGAAGCTGCGCGTGGTGCCGGAGCTACCTTGCGCCGCGCGCATTCTGCTGCAAAACGTGCAGCACGTATCAGCGAAGATTCCAGGCACCGTCGAGGTGAGGAAGCTCATGCGACACGAGACGCACGCGTACCGGATCATTTACGGGGAGCCAATCCGAACGAGCGGGACAACTTGCTGAGTGTGCGACTGTTTCGTTGTCGAAAGAGCGACCCTGTCGTGGAAGCGGACGAGGACGCGCGGCAGTGGGGCGGAGAACGCCAGCCCGTGCTGGGCACAGCTGTGACAGAGGCAACGGCAGGCTTGCTCCCTGCCTTTGAAGCACGGCGTCACCTGGCGGCGGCGGACCCGCTGTCAGTGGTGGAGGCCTTTCACTTGCAACTGCGGCTGTGTCTGCGACACTTGTTTGGCATCAACATCTGCAAGAACTGCCCGCGATGCAACTGCATGTCCGAAGATGGCAGCGTCGCATCCTTGCGCCTTGGAATTTTTGGGCGGGTGACAGCGGTGTATGCGGCGCTGGAACACCAGAAAGCCGGCGGCTTGCACGCACATGCAAGTCTTCGTGGAGAATCTTCACCAAGTCACGCCCTTGCACGAAATCTGGAACCGGCTGGAGAAGGAAGCCAGCGCGGCGATGGTGCAGCGATATCTGGCGTTCAAGGCACGTGTGCAAAGAAACCTACGACGACCTGGCCACGCAGCAGCAGCGCGAGGCAGCGTGGCCGGAGCCCGGCACTCGTGTCCATGCCGACGTATCTGCTGGATGGCGACGCGAGCGACGCGTCTTGGGCTGAAGCGTTCCGGGCCGACGTGCAAAGGATTCAGGAGCTGAAGCAACATCACGTACACCCCTTTGATGGAGAGGGTCGTTGGCAACTTCTACGGCGCTGTCAAAGCAGACAGGATCGAACAGTGTGTAAGGGGCGCTTTCCACGCGTGCAGGAAATCTGTAGCGAGGCGGTGGTGCTTTGTCCCGGCTTGGCTCGGGCATTCAATCTGCCGTTCCAAGGCCGTAGAAACTTAGTAGGTGCTCTCGTGGGGCCGCGCAATAATGAATGGGTGAACGGCACCCATCCGGCACTGACCGCTGCGCTGCGGGCGAACACGGACGTCCAGCTTCCGTATCGACTCCCGCCTTGCAAGGAAACCCACAGCAGCCTGTGCGATGAGGCCAGCTGCCTGGACGGGGTAGATCTGCAAAGCGTCATAACCGCCGCGCAGCACGCGCAGAACGCACAGTGTGGATACGCTGGGGACTACGGCAGCATTGCGGCGGTTCCTGTTGGACGCGTATGGGCGGGGAATTGTGCGCAGCGCGCCGGAAGTGGTGAACCTGCTAACGCGGCAGGACAGCAACGTAGTGACTGCTGCGGAAGCGTTGCAAACGGCTCCGACAGAGAGCTTTCCAGGACGCGTCTTTCTGGAGTGCGTCGAGGGGGTGCAAGGGTCCGGCGCAAGGGGGGCCGGCAGAGCGGCCGCAACGGCAGTACCTGCAAGTAGACTGGCGATCTCGGCGACGCTGCTCGATGACACTGCGGCGCATGGACATCCTCTACGGCTGTTGCGGGACGCGGCGCGAGTGGGTGCGCTACTGGAGAGTGGAGCTGGCTCGCTACCGCGCGCCGGCGGAAGGCGTCGCGAAGGGGCAAACAGTGTTGCACGCAGATCTGACGGCGAGCGGGCGCGCAAAGTCGGAGGGCCTCGAGGCAGGTGTGGACTACCGTGTGCGGGAAGGCGGCGGCGAAGATTGGGTGCCTTTCCCGGACTTGCCAGAGACTGAGCGCTTTCGTCATCAGTGGGTCATGGTCCGTCGGACGCGTCCGGTGGTTCCCGTGTTTTCTGGAGCCCCCTTGCCGAAAGTGAGCAGCTCCGAAAGAACGTGCAGGCTACTCATGGCGTACTTTCATCCTTGGACTTTGCTGGAGCACTGCGCTGCAGAGGGCTGCCCCCTGGCGTCGCAGCTGCGGGGCAGTGCCGCTTCCTGGGCGACAGCGTTTGCCAACTGGCAGCGTCGCGGGGCCAGCAGTGTGGAGCAGCAGCGGTACGCGCAGAACTTCCTGAATGTCACACGTTCGCGCCCCGGTGGGAGCGCGGTCGACTCGGACGAAGTTGAGTCCTTTAGCGACGAGGAAGTCACGCTCACCCAACAGGAACTACCGGTCGCGTTGGAGACACATGTGAGCGGCAGAGCTGCGGCACCTGGTGCGACGAGTGGCGCTGAGAAAGTGTCGCACTGGACAAATTCGACGAACGCCATGGCCCGCGCGCAGCAAGTGTGGGGTGGTGAGACACAGCGCGGCCGAACAGAGCGGAGGGGAGAGCAGGGGGGACCCGAGGCTCTGCGTGCAGCCGAGCAGCAGCTGGAGGCAGCAAAGAAGAGCAAGCGGCCGGCGGCGTGGGAGGCAGAGGGCGGCGGAAGAGCATGCCCAAGGGCGGGAGATGTGCGAGTGCACCCGCTGCCGTTTCAGGAGGATCTGGAAGCATGGCTGGGCCAGCAAGAAGGCCTAGCGGCGGAACAGCACGAGTTTCTACGCGTAGTGGTGGAGCAGTTGCGCAAAGGACTGCCCCGAAAGCAGCGCGTCCGCGGGAAGCAGCCTGTCCGAGGCTGTCCGGGAGAGCCTCTTCGGTGGCTGTTGCACGGCAGGCCAGGGGTCGGGAAATCGTTCGTGCTGGGAAAGCTCCGCGAGCTCTTCGAAAAGGTCATGGGCTGGCAGGCCGGCGTCCAGTTTGCGTTCGTAGCCTTGCAAGTGAGCAACGCGGCGCAGCAGGAAGGGCAAACCTGCCACAGCTTTTTTGGGCTGAACAAGTTCGGGGAACCTGTGGAGTTGGGTCCGGGAGCTCTGCAAGAGAAGCAGCGCAGCTTCCAGCGCCTCGAGTGGGTCGTTGTGGACGAGGTCTCCATGCTGTCAGCATCGTTTCTGGCGGTCATGGAGAGGCAGGCGCGGACACTGCGACCAGAGCGCGGCTCCTCGAAGCTGACAAACAGCGAGCGACCGTGGGGCGGCCTGAGCATGGTTCTGGCAGGGGATTTTCATCAACTCGACCCGCCGGACAACGGGCGAAGCTTGTGCAGCATACCTGACTTCGAGCGCATGCAGCGACGTGCGCAGCAACGGCTGAGTTCGGCCAGGCCTTGATCTGGGACAAGGGTGACGGGTATGGCCTGCGCGGCGTCACGGAGATGCAGACGCCGCAGCGGTGCCGCGATGCCTGGTGGCTGGACTTGCTAGAGCAGTGCCGCTTCGGGCGCCTCTCGGAGGAGAACCACAAGTTCTTGCACGGGCTGCCGACGGACGTCCCAGGCAGTTTCGTGAACGGGCAAGTGCTGTGTGGGAAGAGGGAGTGCGCCGCGTTATGCGGCACGGCCTGCCTGGAGCAGGAGTGCACGGCGTGTCAGCTGGAGAGAAAGCGGCGGCGCCTGGTGGCAAGCGGCCCCACGGACGGTCGCTTCACAGGCAAGTTCAAAGATGCTCCCCTGATCGTCGCCAATAATGATGTCAAACACGAGGCAAACAAGATTCGTGCGCAGGACTACGCAAGGCAGACAGATCAGGCGGTGAGATGGTGCGCATCGCAAGACAGGGCAGACTGCGCGGCCCTTGCGACAGACCCAGACCTGCGCAAGCGCAAGCTGGCTTGGCTTACATACCACGATCGCAAGACAGGGAGCCTTCCTGGCGTGCTGCCGCTAGTGCAGGGGCTGCCCATCAGCTTGTGCGATCGCATCGACAGACCAAAAGAAGCTGTGGCGTGGAGCCGTGGGCAAGGTGGTTTCCTGGACTGTGGAAGGTGACGAGAGCGAGGCAGCCGTTTTGTCCAAGTCGGCGGCGGCGGTGGTTGTCGAGTTTCCGGACGCGTCGTGGCAAGTCTGTCCAGACTTGGCCGCGGGGCAGTACCCGCTGGGCCCGCAAACCGTCCGGTGGTCGGTCGACACGGCAGCGCCAGGAAGGAAGCCGGTGCTATGGGTGCGGAGATCGCAGATTCCCCTCCGCCCGGCTTTGGCGCTCACTGCGCACGGTGCGCTTGGACTGACGCTGGAGAAAGCTATCGTCGACCTACAGCTGAGCGCGGAGATGTCCAGCGTAGGGAGCTACGTCGCGCTGTCGCGGGTACGCCGCGCGGAGGACGTCCTGATTTTTCGGGCGTTTGCGCGCGGTCTGCTTGCGCGCGGCCCTGCGCCGGGCCCTGTTGTGTTGCTGAAGTGGCTGTCAGGAGAACCAGTCGACTGGTCCGTGCTAGACACGACAGACGGCGGAACGAAGGAGTGTTTTGCGACGTTTAGTGGAACGTCATCAAATTGCCGTGCGGTGCTTGGGGGGGGGTCCGGTCCTGTCCCCTCCATGCCGTTCAACCCCCCCTTCATGTCCCTGACATTTTCTCCGGTATGCCCGCTTCATTGTCCATGCATGTCTCGTTCCCTACATCCCCCGTCGTGCCGATTGGTTTCCTTGTGCGTTGTTTCCCTGTCCTTCTGAGACTCTGCCTGCAATCCCATGTTTTCATTTCTGTCCCTTGCATGTCCCTTTCAGTTCCCTTTTGTTTCCCTGTCATGTCCCGCTGCTTTCCTGTCATGTCAACTTCCTATTTCCTCCCCCCATTTCCTTGCACTTCCTTGCATTTCCCCTTTGCTCCCCAATATTCCTCGCAAAAAAACACGGTGTTTCCAGCGTTTTCGTAATCAGGACGTCAAAAAAACACAGATTTTTCCAGATTTTCGGCAAAGGTCCTTGGGGGGGGCTAGCGCGTGTCCAAGCTGGAAAAAGGGACGCCGGCTTGGGTAGCAACTACCCTTCGTAAATACCGTGCCCAAGGATTTACCCTACGTATCGAATGGGCCTGTGTTCGCTCTGTGTCAGGTTCTTCTTCTTTTTGGAGGATGTTCTTGGCACCTGGGTTTGCTCAAAATCGGGGACCCCACAGATAATTGGTTTCCTTAAAACTATCGAAAAAGGGGGTCAATGAACGAGGTACCGCTGGTCAGCGGGATGCGGCAGACCCTCAAGGTGGCTGGGGAGAAGGAGCTCAGCGAGCTGGGGAAATACTGCACGTCGTGCCGCGCGGTCACGTAGTTGGTGTTGCTGGTTTTCAGTTTGTAGTCCAGGCTCTGCATCAGCTCATCATGTGCTCCGGCTGTGACTACCTCCATGCTTGTTTATACACACGCATTTTCACTCGTACGGCGAAGAAAGCTATTCTCCCGTCTGTAACTCCAGGGAGTCTGTGCGAGAATAGTTCCCCACATCTTTGTGTGGGGTTCTTACTTTTTCCGCTCGTCGTCCGCGCGCCGCGTCTCCTCCTTCTCCCGCTCGTCTCCGTCTCACTCACTCACTCACTCACTCACTCACTCACTCACTCACTCACTCACTCACTCACTCTCACTCACTTACACTCACTCAACTCACACTCACTCCACTCACAATCACTCACTCACCTCACTCAGTCACTCACGAACTCTCTCTCACACTCACTCACACTCACTCACTTCACACTCCACTCAGTCACCACATCACTCCCACTCACTCACTCACTCACGCGCACTCACACTCTCTCACCTCAACGACAACAACTCACTCTCTCACATTTTACAAATCACTCTCATCACATCACATCAACTCACTCACTCACCTTCGCTCACATCACTCACCTCACACACCCGCTGACCCTCACGGCAGCGTTCTAGAGGGCGACCAGGATGTTTCGCGCGCAGCAGCGGCGGGGGGTGTGCGAAATCGTGGCAGGCGCAGCACTTTGGCGATGCCGTTGCGAAATCGTGGCAGGCGCAGCACTTTGGCGATGCCGTTGCCGAAGTCGTGGCAGGCGCAGCATTCTGTGCATCTGGGTGTGTGTTTGAGTGGCAGGGGTCGCATTCGGCAGCTGTCTAGAGGGACAGGATGTTGTCGCGCGCGCGGCGGGGGGCGTGCGAAATCGTGGCAGGCGCAGCACTTTGGCGATGCCGTTGCGAAATCGTGGCAGGCGCAGCACTTTGGCGATGCCGTTGCCGAAGTCGTGGCAGGCGCAGCATTCTGTGCATCTGGGTGTGTGTTTGTGTGGCAGGGGTCGCAATCGGCAGCTGTCTAGAGGGACAGGATGTTGTCGCGCGCGCGGCGGGGGGCGTGCGAAATCGTGGCAGGCGCAGCACTTTGGCGATGCCGTTGCGAAATTGTGGCAGGCGCAGCACTTTGGCGATGCCGTTGCCGAAGTCGTGGCAGGCGCAGCATTCTGTGCATCGGGGTGTGTTTGTGTGGCAGGGGTCGCATTCGGCAGCTGTCTAGAGGGACAGGATGTTGTCGCGCGCGCGGCGGGGGGCGTGCGAAATCGTGGCAGGCGCAGCACTTTGGCGATGCCGATGCGAAATCGTGGCAGGCGCAGCACTTTGGCGATGCCGTTGCCGAAGTCGTGGCAGGCGCAGCATTCTGTGCATCTGGGTGTGTGTTTGTGTGGCAGAGGTCGCATTCGGCAGCTGTCTAGAGGGACAGGATGTTGTCGCGCGCGCGGCGGGGGGTGTGCGAAATCGTGGCAGGCGCAGCACTTTGGCGATGCCGTTGCGAAATCGTGGCAGGCGCAGCACTATGGCGATGCCGTTGCCGAAGTCGTGGCAGGCGCAGCA